AAAGCAATGAGGAGTCAATGAAGAGTGCGCAAGAAGAAAAGTAGTTGCAGCAGAGATCCCTCCAGAGATCTGCGTCAGAAGAGAAAACAATATCATTGTATGTTGTGACATAATTAATAAGCGATAAGCGATATTAGATTTTAAGAATAATGAAATGATACTCACATTATATATAATATATATATATTCCCAAATATACATCATACTATATATAATTATATATACACATATCCGAATGACATTGCGTGTTGATACAATCTGGTCTTCTTTGCTGCCCCTGAGTCATCGCCTGTTTTGCGTGGAGAAAAAGGATGCCAAGGACATGATGTTTCACCTACTGGGCGGCTGTTTGGGCAACATGGGGTAATGGATGAACCAGGGAACGGCAGGGACAATATTCAGTGGAAACTATACAAGGTTCCATATGTAGATGCTACGCTGAGGCATCATAGATTTGGGGACCAACCGCCTAATCAGGCAGGGTTTTGACGCAAACTGCTTGAGGCGGTTACCCATTCCAATAAACATGGCTGAGTCAAAGACTGCACAGTCCATAATCATTCCCAGGATATTCACGTTGTTTATTCTCGAGTTTGGGTGAATGGTTCCTGTGTAAAAAGACCTCTTAAATTTCAAGGGGTTGGAACCTGATTGATGAGAATTTCAAGGGGTTGGAACCTGATTGATGAGAAGGAGGGTAAGGATGAAGACAATGACAATGACGATGACAAGAACGAGGAGGACGACGACGACGACGACGAAGACGATAACGACGACGACGATGATAATGACGATGATGATGACGATGGCGATGGTGATGACGATGACGATGACGATGAATATAATGAAGATGATGGTGATGGTGATGATGATTGTGTGTAAAAGCTTCTGTGTGAAAAAGTGTCTGTGTGTAAAAGCTTCTGTGTGTAAAAGCGACTGTGTCTAAAAATGTATGTGTGTAAAAGCTTCTGTGTGCAAAAGGTTCTGTGTGTAGAAGCTTCTGTGTGTAAAAGCGTCTGTGTGTAAAAGCGTCTATGTAAAAGCCTCTGTGTGTAAACAAATCTGTGTGTAAAAGCTTCTGTGTGCAAAAGGTTTGTTGAATTGCGTGAGTGGGGTGTGTTCCGATTTGGAAATCCAACAAGTGGTGGAACAGTTTTCTTACATGTCCAAAATGTATTTCCTCGTTTTCCTCTACTCATGAATTTTGTTTCTCATTGTGTATCCTTAGCAAGCACATGTTGAAGGGGTCAAAAGCACGGCCCAAGAGTCAAAGCTGAACATTGTCGACCGACACGAACTGAATTGACTGAGACTGAGATGATTTCCCTGGTGAAACATCTTATCAAAAAAGTTTTTTTGTTTGTGGAATGTAATCTCAAGGCATCTCCAGAGGTAAAGGTTTCTGAAGTGACATGTTGATATGAACTGTGTGGGAAATTGTGTTAGAAAGGTTTTTAAGGTTTGGAGAAACAGTAAAAGAAAACTTGATTTTTTGACAGACACGTTGACTAAGTTGACCGATATATTGAACCTTCAAAAAATCCAAAATGTCTCTCATACATCTTAACATGTCTCCCAGACATCTTAACATGTCCCTCAGACATGTTGCCTGAAAAAATGCCAAGATGTCTCTCAATCATCTTAACATGTTTCCCAGACATCTTAACAGTCTTAACATGGCACGCAAACATCCTGCCTGAAAAAAATGCCAAACTGTCTCTCAGATACTTTCACGTGTCTCTCAGACATCTTAACATACCTCTCAGACATCTTGCCGGAAAAAAAAACATGATGTCTCCCACAGATTTTAACATATCTCTCAGGCATCTTGCCCAAAGTCTCCCAGACATCTGAACATGTCTCTCAAACATTTTCCCTGAAAAATGCCAAGGTGTCTCCAAGACATCTTAACATGCCTCTCAGACATTTTGCCTGAAATAAAAATACAAGACACATTGCCTGAGAAAAATGCCAAGATGTCTCCCAGACATCTTAACATGTCTCCCACATATCTCTCCGACAGCTTACTTAACATGTCCCCCAGACATCTGAACATGTCTCTCAGACATCTTGCTTAGAAAAAATGCCAAGATGTCTCCCGGACATCTTAACATGTCTCCCAGACATCTTAACATGCCCCTCAGACATCTTAACATGTCTCCCAGACATCTTACCAGTACCAGAAGAAATGTGGCAAGATGTCTCTCAGACATCTTAAAATGTCTCCCAGACATCTTAACATGTCGCCCAGACATCGTGCAGTTTTTTTGTATTATCAGAAGTGGTGGAACAGTCGAAGGTGGCAAAAAATAAGTGGTGGAAACACTTTTTTCCACTAAAAATAAGTGGTGGAACGCACAGAAAAATATTTGAAAAATAATATGTCTCCCAGACATGTTAAGATGTCTGGGAGACATCTTACGTTGTCTGAGACACATTTTGGCATTTTTGTTCAGGCAAAATGTCCGAGAGACATGTTAAGATGTCTGGGAGACATGTTAAGATGTCTGGGAGACACCTTGGCATGATTTTCAGCCAAGGTCTCTAAGAGACATGTCAAGATGCCTGGGAGACATCTTGGGATTTTTGTCCGGCAAGATGTCTGGGAGACATGTTAACATGTCTGGGAGACATCTTGGCATTTTTTTCAGGCAAGATGCCTGAGAGGCATGTTAAGATTTCTTATGCAGACACCTCGGCATTGTTTTCAAAGAGATATGTTAAGATGTCTGGGAGACATTTTTCTCGCAAGATTCTGAGAGACACGTTCAGATGTCTGGGTGACATCTTGGCCTTTTTTTCAGGCAAAATGTCTGTGAGAAATGTTAAGATATTACCTTGCCTGTGAGGCATCTTGCTTTTTGTCCAGGCAAAATGTCTGAGAGACATGTTAAGATGTCAAGGAGACAGGCCAAGATTGTTGGGATACATTTTTTTTTCAGGTAAGGTGTTTGGAGAGACATCGGGCTTCAAACTTTCAGCAATTTCCTGGAGAAACAGCCTAAAATGTTTTTGCAGACCGACTGTGGCAAACTTTTCAAAAGATAATCTACAAACTATTTTAAGATGTCCCAGACATCTTGTCTGAACAAGTGCAACATGTTTTGGGAAATGTTTTGCTATTTCAGGTTGCCCGATTTGTTAGAAGTTTGAAGTATCAGTGACTCTACCCTGTTCTTTGCAGCACATTTCAGCGCCAACTCACTGACACATCAATCATACCTGGAAGTAAGTGGAAGCCATCAACTACATGTTTGATTGAATTTCTCAATATTCTACAAACTTTTCTTGGATAAGTTGCAGGGAAACAGAAGTTTTTGGAGCAAAGACGGTCTTGACACCAGGGAGGTGCCATCAAGGGCGAAAGAGTCATCAGCGTGTCAGGGGCTGGCAAGGGGTCCATGAATTTCAAGAAATCACTTTAGATATCATTGATATCATCATTGGCACATATAGGAAGGCAGCCCCTCATGAAACCACCAGGGTTTGAATCTTGTACGTTGGTGTGTTTTTACTCCCAGGTAGTTTTCAACACTTATTCCTGACCAGGGTGGTTTCCACCACTTATTTTCTTCTAAAAATCAGGGCTCACGAAATTCAATAAAAAGGTTCTGTGTGTAGAAGCTTCTGTGTGTAAAAGCGTCTGTGTGTAAAGGCTATACGAAGGATACGATGCAAACTATCTTCTTGTAATATCTGGTCATCCCCCATGATCCCCCCATGATTTTTTTTCTATGAGTTGATGCTTCAGGTGGGCCCCGGCGCCTTCATTTCTCATCACGTCGTTGCCTGAGGGGCAGCTGAATCCCCCAAATGTGATGCTTTCAGACTTAATTTCTGCATATCTAGGAATCTAGGTGAATGAGAAACCCTGCAACCTCAGAGAGCTTCAAGGTTGCCCTGCAGGACATTTCGAGCTTTGGGTTGCTATGTTGTTTTTTTTGAGATGTGCATCCACGTAGCCAACGATCCACGTAGCCCCAAAACGGGTGCTGTTTTTTTACCCGACGTCGCGTCACCGGTGAATCCGGCAGTTTTGACCGTAACCGACAGATGTACGATCTACTCCCATCCCCTAATGTTGGATACCCTCCTTTAAAACCCTGTTGTAGCATAGGGGGAATATGATTGTGTCATATTAAGTGTCATTTCATTGATTCATGCTAAATTCCAAATGCGTATTTGCCGACAGGTAGAATTTACCCATCCACCACGGGTTTCGAAACTCAAGAACTTGAGAGTTTCAACCAGACCCGAACCAGAGTTGGATGAGTGAACATCCAGAGCGTATCCAGGGTCAACCTTTAGATGGGTAGTTTAATACTGTGAACACTTTTGTCACGTTTATTGAAGGTAATAGATCATTATACCAGTAGATACCAGTAGTACTCGTACCGCACAAGGCAGTGGCGGAAGTCTCAATGATAGGAAACCTATAGGAGAGGTGAGTTCTGATGCATGGATGGTAGAGCGAACCCATTGATGGACCGGAAGGCGGTTGACGCTCTAAGTCTCTCTCCCTCTCTCCCTCTCTCCCTCTCTCTCTCTCTCTTTGTCACCTCCTCTCTGTGTCTCTCTATCTCCGCCTCTGTCTATCTATCTGTTTGTCTATCTATCTTTCTATCTTTCTATCTTTCTATCTATCTATCTATCTATCTCTAGTGTTCTCTTGTGTAGTGTAATGTACTTTTAATTGTCGCTGTAGTTGTAGCTATAGCTGTCTGTAGTTGTAGTGTAGTTATAGTTGTAGTGTAGCTGTAGTCTGGTGTAGTGTAGTTGCAGTTGCAGTTGTAGTTGTAGTTGCAGTGTAGTTGTTGTTGTCGCTGTAGTTGTAGTTGTAGCTGTAGTTGTACCAGCAGTACCCGCACCAGGCGGGGCGGAAGTTGCCTTAGGGTAGTTATACTATAAGACCTTTCCCATCTATAGAACTTGCATGCGCCGTGCGCCAGCCAGGCCCGTACACCGAGAAAAAGCACAAAGTTCCATCGATGGATGGCACCATGGAGACTGAGGAGACCGAGCACACCCAGAAAAAAACCGAAGTTCCATCGATGGATGACACCATGGAGGCTGAGAAGACCGAGCACACCCAGAAAAAACCAGAAGTTTCATCGATGGATGACGCCATGGAGACCAAGAAGGACACCAAGGACAAGAACAAAGGTCCAGTGATGGATAACACCAAGGAAGCCGAGAAGACCGAGAAAAAAAACGACACCATGAAGGCTGAGAATGCAACCAGACCAGTGAGCCATAGTGCTTCCTCAAGTAGGCTGACAGGCGAGCAGCGCAGACAACAGAACGAGTTTGTGCCAGACCCAAGGAACCCTGCAGAAGTACGCCTGCGAGCTTTGATGGACAAAAAAAATATCCGGGAAGCTCGCAGAAAGGAGAAGAGAGCCAATGAGCGGAAGTCCCAGTAAGGAGAAAAAAAAGTGTGCAGGGTGGTTTGGAAGCTTTTAGGATGAGATATGATGAGATAGTCTTCACGCGGTGGTGTGTGATTTTACCATTTGAATTCTACACGCGCTTTGCACCACAATGTCGTGCATTTTTTCGACATTGCAACATTCAAAATTGGTCCGAGATATTTTTTTCCAGTTTTGTCTTCGAAAATTTGCTTCGTGCCACAAAGCCGTGCACTTTTTCACACCTCAACTGCCACAAGTGCTCCGACACTCAGGTGCTTTTGGCATTTTGGCTTCGAGATGTGCTTCGAGCCGCAACGGCATGCACTTTTGGAAGAAGTAACCTTCCAAAAGTGCTCGGAGGCTGAGGCGTTTTTGAAATTTAGACTTTGACATGTGCTTCGTGCCACAGCCGCGTCCACTTCGCTCACATCGCAACTTCCGGAAGTTCTCCGAAGGTGGTGTGTTAGCTAGATTTCAAAATGTGTTTCGCGCCGCAAAAGCGTGCAGTCTTCTTCTTTTATCTCTCATCTCCCCAGATGGCTCCGCACCCGCCGCTTTATCGAGCCTACTTTTCGACCGTCCAGAGCCCCAAAGCATTGGGAAAAACACAGTGTTTCGCGACTTCCCGACTTTTCTACCTTTTGGCGCACCTGGATCTTCTTTCGTTTTCGTTTCTCTTCACTGATCTTCAGTGTTCTGCGTCTCTTCTCTCTCACTTGCCCGCCTCTGCTGGTGCATTTGACCATGCTGTCAGAAGTTTGACTTCTAAATTTCCTTCGATCATTGCTAAACTTGCAGTACTAGCTAGGCTTGAATGTATGACAAGAATAGCACATGTTATCATTATTATCAGTATACCAACGAGCTAAACTTAAAACAACGCAAACAAATGCAGCAGGTCAGTGGAGTGGCGCAGCTTACAGAACTGTTGGGAGAGGAAGGGGGCCCGTTTCGGGAGCCTTTCAAGTTGACGGTCCTGGCAAAAGATTGGAGTACTATTATTGGTGATTATCAGTTGGTACAGTAATCGTCAAGTAATTGGGAATAGCAATTGGTCTGTTTATGTTTCGATGGCAAAACATTACCGCACAGAAGAGTTCAATGAAGAATCCGATTGCAATTCCCATTGTTGCTTTGAGGTTTTCATTTTACTGAGGGTTTATTTAAATCCAGACAGGATAGACATCGCTTCATTTCTTCTCTGGTTCATCATCATTAATATGGGAAACCCAATCATAAATCTACCATTTGATTTTGGGTGATGATGTATCATTACCACATTATCTCTATTGAGCTGTTTTCTTTTGGGGGGTTTCCTCTTCAGACAGACCCATCTGGCACACAACGTCGGGAAAAATCAGGCCAAACAACAGTGCGACTTACACTAACCATCCGCAAAACGTAGAAATATGTGACAACATTGGACAATCCCTTATAAATGGAGTTTTGACTGAAACAAATCAACTATCAATGGTGGATTTTCCATTGCCACGTTTGATAACACCGGACGGTAAACCAATTACTGCAACTGACGGATTTTCCTGTACTCCATTGTTGCCAACTCTGGTCAAATTCCTGATTTCTGACTTCATGGCGATTCAAATAGGGTTGACGTTTCGTTCATTTGTGCTATCCATCAGCGTTAGCCCTGGGTCAGTTTTGTCATACTTCAATCAAGGATTTCAGAACCAGGTGTTGTCATGATTTGGGATGTGCATTCCTACTAGGCCATCAAACCGCCACGACAACAAGGCATGTTTTTTCAGTCAAATGGATTCATGGTTACCCTACTTTCAAACAATCCCAGATCGCTACCGTTGAACTCGTGCCATAGTTTTCAGATGTTTTCAGCCGCTTTCCGCCAGGTCATTGAGAATGAAATGGTCTGCTTCAAGATCACCATGGTGAAACCACGAGTCCTTTGGAGATGATCCCCCGGGTTGAACCGTGTTTTCAAACTGGGACCCAACTTGGGTAGTTTTCTGTGTGTTGAGTTGGTGAATGTTGGTGACAGTTCCAAATCACAAGAACATGGGTTTGCCCTTTTCAGAAAGGAGGTACAAGTACCTCATTGATAGAAGTGATCGCTGAATATAGTTGAATAATGATGACAATCCGTGGGACTATATATTCAGCTATATTATGGACAACTATAATATTAGGCTATATTTTATTATATATTTGCTATATTCGCTGAACATGACAATCTGTGGATGCCCTACTTATCGACAATGCCTCATGGCTGAGATATGCGATGGTGATGGATCCCAACAAATCAGCACTCATAGCTCCATTGGTACCCCTTGTTGAATATCCATACCTACATAGCCTATATATATAGTAGTAGTATATTTATATATCTATTATGATATATTCTGTATAATAATAAATGTAATATATATTATATTATATTATATTATATTATATTATATTATATTATATATTATATTATATTTTATTTTTTATATTATATTATATTATATTATATTATATTTTATTCTATTATTTTATATTTTTTATTATTATCTTATATTATTTTATATTATTCGTTTTTTAATTATACTATATGTTTGTTTTTATTTTATCATATGATATTATATATGTGTTTTTTAATATTATTAATATATATTCTATTAAATATTGTGCATTATATATTTATTTTATATATATAATATTAAATATATTATATATAATATATTTTGTAATATTATATGTAATATTAAAATATTAAATAATTTTATATATAATATATAGAATATTTTTTTATAATATATAGATATAATATTATATATATAATATTTTCTCTATAACAAATATATATATATATATTAATATTATTTGTAATATAATATATATGTAATATTTTTATTAATTTGCAATTTATATAATATATTTATTTTTTAATACTATAATATATATATATATATATATTATTTAATATGTTTAAAATAATATATAATATGTATAGTATATGTTATATATCATGTATTTTATATTTTACTCTATAATTATAAATATTATTATATATACTATATATAGTATATATATATGGCCTCTATATATATATATATATATATATACATACTTATATATATATAGCCTATAACCGGATCTGGAATGAAATCAGCCTCTCTAGGTGCCGGGAAAAGTGAAATTGGAGGCCGCCCAAACGGTGAAGAGCAAGGCCTTGACCTGAAATCCAGCGTTTTTCCAGGTGAACGGAAATGTTTTTTCCGCTGGTTCGGCCCATTCCCATTTTATTCTCAGTCAATACTTGTTGTTCATGGTTTGTTTCTTGTTTCTGCAGCTGATATGTCCGTTGGTCTACATCCTGTTGTCTTCCCGTGTTGTGTGTGGTTTTCATCATGGTTTTCATCAAGATGCTGCAAGTTATTCCAAGTTAGCCACGCGTTGCTCACGCGTGGAGACCTGAGGAACCCTTTCGAAAACATCCGTTCTACAGCTTTAAGAGGCTCGATCGTTCCGCTTCCAAGAGCTGAAGATAGGTGTGGCACTGAAAAACCAAGATGCTAACTTGCTAACTGGTTCCTTTCAAGATTTTATGAAACATTTGGAGATATGTTAATATTCAAATATGGGAAACAAAACATGTGGGTCATATATATATATGTATCATAATATATCGTTGGGGTGGATCGAAACCTTCAAGCAGTGTCATGAAAATTCTAGAGTGTGAACACCTTGATGCCTCGTCGTTGCCGGCAGTTTGTGGAAACTTCAAACGTATCCTGCTGGTGGCACTCGAGTAACGCGAGTGGTGAAGGAATTCAAACAGCATCTTGACGCAGCCGCTGCGCAGCCGGCTTGGTGGGCTGGTTGATACGAACTTATTTGAAAACGTACCCCATAAAATCCCATGAAAATGAACAAATTTGCCAATGAAAATGGCATAAATGGCCATAAATCCAGGGTATACCCCATCCCCATTGATGCACGCAACTTGAAAATATCTTGATCGAGACATGACATGATATGACATGATATGACCCATCCCGACACGAAGCACCACTTCCAACAAACAACAGGAGTATTGCTTGAGAAGTGGCCGAAATTGTATGAAATTGTAACGATAGGATCTTACAAGCCCACAATACTGTGTCATACATAAAATATCTCTGTTTTATCAGGTTTACATTCCATGATACATCTCTAATGGCTTCGTAGGTGGACATTGTAGGGGGGTTCCTAAGTTTCGGGGGTCCCTAGTTTCATGGATGCTTTTAACATGAAAATAGATGAAGTCATGGGCTACCCCCACGACGAAACCGCGCCCCGCTGAGATTTGACCTTTTGGAGTTTGATGCCTTGAACGCCGTGAGCCGGTCAATTGAGGTGACCCCGATCCAACCAGGGGGAGCAGCGAGCCGAAACCTTCCCATTGCTTGGTGAAACGGTCCGATTTTTTCAAGAAAATTCAGACTCATCCCATATGAATGGTGATATATGGCGATATGAAAACACATGATACCGCATCAATTTGAGCATCAAGAAATGACCAAAAAAAGACATGTCTGAATCCGCTTTCGGTGATGATGAATCCGATGAATCCCCAAAAAGAATTGCTGGTCAACTCCCAAAAAATATCCTATAATCATCTATAATCCTAAAATATCCCATAAAATTCCTATAGATTAATAGAACTGTATATTCCAATATTATAGGAATATATATTATCCTATATTGGAATCCCATTTGAATCCTTAAAAATGTCTTCATTTGTTTTCCCTTAGAATCCCCATGAGTGTCCATGTTTCAGCATGGCGCGTCCGCAGGTGGAGAATGAAGAAATTCGCCAATCATGGAGTTCTGCCTTGCGCGTTCAACCGATCAAGGCCAAAAACGATGGGAATTCTAGAGGAAAGCAGCCAAACATGGCCTGATTACGCCTGATCTATTTCACTTATTCCAGGATTAATCCAGTTTTCAATGCTAATGCATGTTTATCCCATCCTGTCGTCACCTATTTTTTGGAAGCGGGAAAGACCGGCACTGGTGCTACACCGCAATGTAATATTAAATACCTCCCATGGGGGGCCCCGAGAATCATTAAATCCAACAGTAAACGAGATATTCTAGGTAGGTAACTATTTAATATCAGGGGAAGGGGATTACTAATTGGCTCACTTCTGGGTTGGGTGTAATGTTTTATTTTGTCTAAACGGAAGGAAGAAAACTTGTTTCACAAGAAAAATGCCTTTAGCTTAACAAGTTAGGTACGTTTTTATAGCCTTAAGCCTTGCCGATGGGATTAATCATAGGCTGTACAACCTTGTCCGGCATTGGTTTCAGGAAAAAATGATAAGAAAGCCGTATAGTTGGGTAGCTGAAAAACATGCCTTCCAAAAAACGACTTCCACTCAAATTACTCTAATCATCACAATGAAGGTTTGGAACATTTTAGAACCAACGGTCTTGCAATTGGATGGATGATGATGGATGTGAAGATTTTTGGGTCAGCTGTGTTCCATACGGATGACCCCCATGACCCGGATCCGAAGCTCTCGTGCAATATGAAAGCCTCATCTGATATGTCACACGGATTCATAGAAAAATGGTATTGAATCGTACTTATTTTCTACATAGTTGATCATAGTTGGGTGATTCTATGGTGTTCTTATTCACTGTGTTGGCTATTTCGCGGAGTATTAGGGCAATCAAATTTGGGTTCAGCAGTAAGGCTGGGCAAGCACCGAAAACATGTCGGACGGACGACCGGAAGAAGCATATGATAAGATGATGTAAACAAAACAGCAAAAATATAAGAAAAGTTATCGTGTGGTGCGCTCCCCTTTTTGGTATGTTTGTTGTATTTCCAATGGTGCTGTCCTTCCGTTTTTTTTACAACATGATATTAATAATATATAATATGTATATATGTATATATACCTACCTACCTGACTGCCTGCCTGCCTGCATACACACATACACACATACACACATACACACATACACACATACACACATACACACGTACACACGTACACACATACACACATACCAACATACACCCACATACACACATAAACACATACATACATACATATATATATATATATACATACATATATACATATATACATATATAGATACATGCATACATACATACATACATACATACAGACATACAGACATACAGACATACAGACATACAGACATACATACAGACATACAGACATACAGACATACAGACATACACACATACAGACATACAGACATACACACATACAGACATACACACATACAGACATAAAGACAGACATACACACATACAGACATACAGACATACAGACATACAGACATACAGACATACAGACATACAGACATACAGACATACATACAGACATACAGACATACAGACATACAGACATACACACATACACACATACACACATACACACATACACACATACACACATACACACATACACACATACACACAGACACACATACACACATACACATACACACATACACACATACACACATACACACATACACACATACCAACATACCAACATACCAACATACACACACATACACACATAACCACATACATACATATATATATATATACATACATATATACATAGATACATACATACATACATGCATACATACATACATACAGACATACAGACATACAGACATACAGACATACAGACATACAGACATACAGAGGTACAGACGTACAGACGTACAGACGTACAGACATACAGACATACATACAGGCATACAGGCATACAGGCATACACGCATACAGGCATACACACATACACACATACACACATACACACATACACACATACATACATACATCCATACATCCATACATCCATACATTCATACATCAATACATCACATCCATACATCCATCCGTGCATGCATGCATGCACACATACATACATCCATACATCCATCCATGCATGCATGCACACATACATACATGCATGCATGCATGCATACATGCATGCATACATGCATACATACATACATACACACATACAAACATACACACATACACACATACACACATACACACATACATACATCCAAACATCCATACATCCATCCATGCATGCATGCATTCACACATACACACATACACACATACATCCATACATCCATACATCCATACATCCATCCATGCATGCATGCACACATGCACACATACACACATACACACATACACACATACAGACATACATCCATACATCCATACATCGATACATCCATCCATGCATGCATGCATGCACACATACACACATACACACATACACACATACACACATACAGACATACAGACATACACACATACACACATACACACATACACACATACACACATACCAACATACCAACATACCAACATACCAACATACACACACATACACACATAACCACATACATACATATATATATACATATATACATAGATACATACATACATACATGCATACATACATACATACAGACATACAGACATACAGACATACAGACATACAGACGTACAGACGTACAGACGTACAGACGTACAGACGTACAGACGTACAGACATACAGACATACATACAGGCATACAGGCATACAGGCATACACACATACACACATACACACATACACACATACACACATACACACATACACACATACACACATACATACATACATCCATACATCCATACATCCATACATTCATACATCAATACATCACATCCATACATCCATCCGTGCATGCATGCACACATACATACATCCATACATCCATCCATGCATGCATGCATGCACACATACATACATGCATGCATGCATGCATACATGCATACATACATACATACATACATACATACATACACACATACAAACATACACACATACACACATACACACATACACACATACATACATCCAAACATCCATACATCCATCCATGCATGCATGCATTCACACATACACACATACACACATACACACATACATCCATACATCCATACATCCATGCATGCATGCATGCACACATGCACACATACACACATACACACATACACACATACAGACATACATCCATACATCCATACATCGATACATCCATCCATGCATGCATGCATGCACACATACACACATACACACATACAGACATACAGACATACAGACATACAGACATACACACATACACACATACAGACATTCACACATACAGACATACATACATACATAGAATAACATAATGTATATATATATATAATACCTGCTTTAAACCACAACTCTTTTTTGTCCTCCCCTAGCTCTCTTTTTGTCCTTTGGCCTTGTCGCGTTGTGCGGCGAGGCTGTTGCAAAGCCAGACAAAGCTCTGGGACTCGCGGCTCAGGCCCGGAAGCGCAATGGTTTGTGGTGGCCATATGGAAATGGACACCGAAAATATGTCAAAAGTAATATGTGAGCAGAAATATGAAAATCATGAATGATTCGATTATATACTTTAATGATACTTGAGGTCCCTGTGGTTTATTACAATTTGAAATGTTTCTGAGGCAGAAACGGAGAAGGAGATGTACAGTGCATCCTTCCTGCTGGACGTGGGGGCCATAGTGGGGAAGTGGTGGATTGTTTCTATGGCTATGGTAAGAAGATGTGGAAAGTGAATTAATATGGTTGTGTTTCAAAATGTGATAGATATATCCATAGAATGGGCACTTAGTAGAAAACACGATGAACCATGGGTTTTTTTGGTGGCCCTATTTGCAGACAAACCCATAGGTTTTGCATCCATGGGCACCCATTTAACATTTTTTTACTTGGCTACTTTTTGCGTCTCTAATATGCTTTAACCATCTAATCTGGGATGGGATGTACTCGTACCCACTCTTGACCACATGAATTTCTCTAGAAGTGTCATCCGTTGTGTAAAAAAATCGATGAACCAAGATGTTTCACTGTTCCACCCCATTTCAGTTGGTTTTATCCGCCTTATCTAAGTCTCTAAGTCTAAGTGTCTCCCACGATGATTGCCATCCCGTTCTTTGTGGTCGACATGTTCCACTTTGAGATTCGCAGATATCATGCTCCAAAGACGTTTGCTTCGGGAGGTTCCCATGGAAGACGTGTTTCGGGCCTTGGTCACCCATCAACTTTTAATGGAGCAGATTCCTCAGCGACATCCACTGGCAGTCTGGGACTCCGGAATCCGAGCTCATCATCGTCATTGTCATCGTCATCGTCATCATCATCATCATCACCATCATCATCATCACCACCATCATCATCATCATCGTCATCGTCATCGTCATCTTAATCATCATCATCATCACCATCATCATCACCACCATCATCATCATCATCGTCATCGTCATCGTCATCTTAATCATCATCATCATCATCATCACCATCATCATCACCACCACCATCATCATCATCATCGTCATCGTCATCGTCATCTTAATCATCATCATCATCATCATCACCATCATCATCATCACCACCATCATCACCACCATCATCGTCATCGTCATCGTCATCTTAATCATCATCATCATCATCATCATCACCACCATTGTGAGTTTGACCTGTCTAATGTATATTTTGTATAGCCAAGTGATCACATGCCCCCGTTGACATTTGGCTTTAGGGCCCTTGAGTCATACCGCGCTGCCGTGGTAAAAGTTGGGCACTAACGATCCCGTTTCCAATTCATATTGGTAGCGGAGCAGGTGACGACCTGCATCCGGTGGTACGTCAGTGACCCAGGGAACCCTTTGTGAATTTGAGTCTGGTAACTTTGGGAATCAACTGAACTTCGAGTGTGTCGTGGTTCGGGAATCTGTCTGACCCTGACCAGGGCAGACACTTGTTAACGTTTTTCCTTGTTCGACTCCGAACGGAGCGAGCATCATGTCGATCAATGGCCTTCGTTTCAATCAGGAACGCCATTCGTCGGCACCACTTGAGACGAAGAGTGGATCATACATCTATGCAGGTGATGCGGCGAACTTTCATGATTGGCAGTTCAGGACTCTCCTTCGGATTCGTCTTTATGAGCAACAATTGGAGGAGGAGACAAGTAAGCCTGCGGATCCCGTTGGGACCACAGCAACAGAGCCTGCCGCAGAAGACGCAGATGAGTATGTTACTTTTCCAGATTTGTCGGGTGCTACTCAAGCAGCCCAGCCTACATCAGCAGTCTCGACTCCGAAGTCTGGAGCGAGCCGAAAATCCTCGAAGTCCGGCAAGCAGAAGACAGACATTGACCGTGGACCATTGGTCAACAAGGTGATTGAAGGACTGAGAGGAGATGCTTTCTCAATAGCTAGGGATCTTGGACTTGAAGTGTTGTCCAAACCTGGTGGCCTTGTGAAACTTGTGGGTGAGATCAAATCCCATGTGTTTCCAAGAGCCCGTGAGGAAGCCAAGGAATTATTTCGAGCAGGACAGAAGCAAGGTGGTCCTTTATCTCGCCAACCAGGCGAACCCATGCTTTCCTATGTTCAGAGGAGACGACGTTGGTGGCACATGCTATGCGAGTTGGATGACACAATGGTGTTTTCGGACAGCTTGAGGACAGAGTTGATGTTGGAGTTGAGTGGGCTCAATCGACAGGAGATCCTCGTTGTGAAGGCCTGTGCAGACACTAAAGATTTTGAAGGTGTTGGCAAGGTGCTGATCGAGAACTACAGTGGCACTCACTTGCGAGAAGGGTCACGATCCTGGACAGGACGTGGTAATCCTCAACAGCATGGCAAGTCGTCAGGCAAGGGTTATGGCAAAGGCAAACCTTCTTCGAAGGGATCGTATTCCCAAGCAGCCTATGCAGCCTACCCCGATGATGGGGAGGAACATGCAGAATCTTGGGATGAAGCTGTGGATCAATCCTGGGAGGATGATTCATATGTTGGCATGCTTGGTGACATTGCAGAAGAGGAGCCAGGAAACCTAGAAGGTGACAACGAATTTGATTACTTTGACGACGTCGATGAGTACGAAGCAGTTGCATTGAACAGCTTGCTTGAAGTTGAAGGTGCAGAAGACGATCGACAAGCAGGAGACGCCATCCAGCTACAACTTGCTGCTTTCACCGCAATGGGGAAAGCAGGTGGCAAGGGCAAATCCTTCGGGAAGCCCAAAGGAAAGGGGAAAGGAAAGATCGTGAAGTCCAACCTCACGATCGATCAGAGGAGACGGAAGCTCACAGAGCTGAAGTCGAAGAGCAAATGTTTGAGATGCGGAGTCATAGGGCACTGGGCCGGTGACCCGGAATGTAAATTCCCGGGGTCGAAAGCCGGAGCCCCTGGAAAGTCAGCCCCAAAGCCCGCAGCTCACTTTGCCGACATGAGCGATTCTTCAGATGACGATGGTGTGACTTTGACAGCTTCACCTGATCGTGACAGAGATGGAGTTGCTATGATGGCAGTTCGACAAGCGAAGCCCAGCAGTCGACCTTCACGTGCAGCAGCATCCAGCAGCAACGTTGGCTTGATTTCCCGGGATCTCGATGTTACAATGAGACCCGAGGACCATGGGTGCATCTTTCCTGTTGGACAGTTCAAGGGTTTGTCTTTTTGGAATGTGTTGTTTGAACAGACAGGGTACTATCATCATGCCAAGAAACATACCCCCAAGAGTCCATACTATGTCACATGGTTGAATTGGGTTGACAAGTACTTTGTGGTTGGTGCTGATGGGATTCACTTGCGCGAAGTCCCTGTTGAGCATGTCGAGCACCGAGATTTGTTGGTGGCTCGGGGAACTGGCAGAAAGAAACCCCCAAATCCTCCTTTGCCGAACAAGTGTCAGGAATGCCGTGAGTTTACAAAACAAGGTTCTACGGGGTACACCATCAGGAAGACCTGTCTTGTGTGCGGTCATTCCGAAACAACAAGGCGTGACATGGTACCGTTGATGTCCCCTGAGAATTGCCCTCATGATGACACCGATTTTAGGGGATCCAGCAAATCAACACACCGTACTTTCTGCAAGAAGTGTTGCACTTTCATTGATGAAGCTCCTATGCAGATTCGCAAGGAGCGTGTTGCCATTGCCAAGAAGGTTGAAACAGCATCAGTTCGAACAGTCCCCATTGTTGAATCATTGGTTGAAGAATCGGATGGATTGAATCCAGTCCAGTTGGAAGAGTTGTTACCCTTGTTTGCCACTCTTGTTACCGAAACCTGCCAATCTGAGGTGATGACCCGTGCACGACTTCATGAACTACTGCATCAAGCCATCAATGACGTGACAGAGGAAGAGGACAGTTTTTCTCTTGTCAATGAAGATGGGCACGGCGACCCCTCGGGCAGGGAGTTAGCTGGGTACGTTGGCATTTGTTTGCATGGAAGCGACACTCAATACCCTCAAGACTTGGTTTACATGAACTATGAAACTGTTGACATTGCCAAGTCACCCCATGTTTTTGCAGTATTGGATGAAGGTTGCAACAGCACTTGTCATAGCAAAGCCTGGGCAGTCGATGCAGAAGCACGACTGGCCCGATTGGGTTACAGTATGCCATTGAAGGATGACGGTTGTAAGAGTTTTGCTGGTCTGGGAAGTGGTAGTACCAAGACCGAAGGTGTGAGATCTATTCCTTTTTCGCTGCTGCTTCCAGACGGGAACATGCATGGGGAGTTGGATTCATATCAATTGTCAACAGGCAACAGTCCATTGCTTCTTTCATTGCATGCGCAAACCAAGTTAGGCCTAGTGAAGGACCTAGCAAAAGGGGTGATTTCCATCAAAGATCAACCATTGAATATCAAGAGATGTTCCAAATCAGGTTTACTTGTGATGAACTTGACTGAAGGATTGACCAACATCAACAACACACCGTCGGATGAACTTCCCCAAATCCCGAAGTGTCACAGAAAGTACAACATCGCATACACAGCATCCACATCGGAAGTTGCCATGGCTGACCATGACATGTGTGGTTTTCATTCGAGGGACTACGACATCTTGCAGACGAAGTTGAATGAAGAACTGCGCAGTGACAGGAAGGTGATCATCATGACTCGTGGACGTAGATTTCAACAACATGCGTGCAGAACCAGCAGGAGCACTTTGAGCATCAACTGTGAGGACATTAACGATCCTGATCAGGACGTTAATCTCAGGTCGCATGTGGGTTGGCATCATGGGATCCTTGAGACTATGAGCAAAGTAGACAGGTTCATCCAACATCTCAACAACATCCTCCAGTTCGTCACACAGCAGGAAGCCGACAGTAAGGTGCTGGTGGACTTGGAGTGCAAGTCAGGTCGCCACAGGTCAGTGGGACAAGGATTTGCTGCCTACAGGTGTCTCAAGGTCCTTGGTTATGACGTTGTTCTCATTCATGCATCATCTTGGATGTGGGGAGAGATGCGTTGTGGTGGAGTTTGTCATGGATGTAAGGACATGGCTGCGAGCTTGGGACAAATTCGACATTTGATCCCGAACATGTCAAGGTTGGCACGATCACGAGGCAATGTGGCTTCAAGCCGTGACGTGCGCGATGCTCCAGCCGATGATGTTTCAGGTGGACATTCATCTCATCCTACATCAGATCACCCCACTGCAGGACATCCTACATCAGATCAACTTGATGAGATTCGACGTTTGGTACAAGGGCTTGCAACAGATGTTGGACATCTTAGGACAGAACAGGTTGAGATCAAAAGGATGGCCGAGACCGGAAGGAGATCAAGGAGTCCATTGCGTCGACGGAGATTGCCGACGCCACCGTCGCCACCAGCAAGGCGCAGAAGATCACCAAGTTTTCGTCGCAAGTTACCTCCTTGGAGACATGCACAAGC